TATAGTATATACCATAGTAAATTATATTATATAGTATATAGCCACAATATATATGCTTAATGATATGTAATAGATGACAGATTATATATATAATATATAATAAGTATATATATATATAAGTATAAGCTATTAAATGATGATATATAAATAACATATACTATATTGTAATATAAATATAGGTATATACATATAATATATAATATGTATTATATATTATACATACCGATATACATATATGTGATATAAATCATATAGATATATATCAGGTATATATATATGTCAGTATAGTACTGTCAATCTATAATGTAGTGTATTATAAATATATATTATATATAATATTATACAGTATACATATATATATATATACTCGTAAATACATATATATCACAGTATAATTATATATACATATATATATATACATACATACATATATATATATAATATATATAATAGCTATAATGGTATGATATAAGTATAGCTCATTAGTATATATCTGTAATCGGTAATATACATTCTAGTATATATAATACTATACGTAATATAATATATATTAAGTCTAACAAAGATATAGTGTATGAGTTATAGCTATATACCATATGTACATATATAGTATATTATACTATAATAGTATATGTATGTATGTATATAATATATATATATATATATATATATAAGTATGTATATATAACGGGGTATTATAATACATATATAGGATATAAATGTCGTATGTAATATATGCATATATATATATAGATATATATACATATACACTAACGCATATATCTGTATGCATATATATATAGTATCTAGATAATATGCCGTATCTATATATTGATATGTTTATATGTATATAATATATGTATACTATTATATATATATATATATACCTATAATACACATATACATATACTATATCATATCGTAAATAGCTTATTTATATATAGTAATACAATATATATACTATACATAGCAATAATATATTTATATGTATTATATAATATAGTAGTAATAATACAATTCAGTGGTATACTATATATATATAATCGATATATTAAGATAGTTAGTATATAGGTATTATATTATAGTATACCACCAGACTACACAAACAGCATGGCCGACAATCACACACACACATACTTATAGCATACATACATAATATTATATAATATAGTATATAGTATATATAATATGCTATATCAATATTAGTAGACTGTGTGTTGTGTGTTGTGTGGTGTGTGGGTGTGTGTGTGTGTGGTGTGTGTGTGTGTGGTGTGTGTGTGTGTGCGTGTGTGTGTGGTGTGTGTGTGTGTGTGTGGTGTGTGTGTGTGGGGTGTGTGTGTGTTGTGTGTGTGTGTGTGTGTGTCGTGCGCGCACGCGCGTGTGTGTAGTGAATGTCGTTGTATGTACAAGCTACACAGAAAAATATCGTTCAGAAAATATGCTAAACTATTCTGAACAACAAGCAACGATACTTTAAAAAAATACTTAATGCGATGAAACTGTTGGTATCTATGATATTCCATTTTTGGATATGTGTGGCCTATATGAGTATTGCAAAGCATATTTCATCTCCAATGGAAATAAAAGCATCATCTCGCAGTGAATCCACGTGAATTCCGGAACGACTTTTTGAATGAATCAGAACAAGACAAATACGAAAGACAAAATACCAACCCTTCCGTAACATAAGGTTCTATTCGTTATTGTGTTTCGACACTCCTCCAAACGATAGATTTCTGAGGAGCTGTACACACGCACAGTCAGATGACAGAAGGTGAGGATTGTGAGTGTTGGCGGCACAAGATCATTGCCTTTAAAGACGATAGTGAAGCAAGGATGGTCGGGTAGATGGGTAGGGTGCTTAAAATGTTCGCTTTTTAATGTGTATTAAAAGCGTATTGCGATAACCTTGCCGTCACCATTATCAGCACAGTTAGGCAACCGCATTCATTTCTGTCACATGTCATATATTTCGTGAACGCTGTAATGTTTATGAGAGAGGACAGAAGCGTAAATCGGCTGAAACTGAAAGCACGAGACAAAAGAAGAATCGCCTAAAGGAAGAGATAAAGCCCGATTAGAAAACGGTAGCATTTTGAGTTGCATCAAATGGTGTCATTTGCACTCCAAATATTGCCATCTTTAAATCATTCTGGTCTGGTGCTCTCTGTTTCTACTTCCGAAATCCGAATTCCCCTTTTCATTCACGCCCTCCAGTCACACGCCTTCTGGTGGGCTTCCTTAAACGACTCAACCTGTTTTCTACTCCACAGCAGGTCATACAAATATATGACTTGTCCATTCTCATCTCTCCTCTCTGCTGCACTGAAGCGCACTTTCTCAATTTCTAAATGTTCATCCACTATGTTCAACCCACATTTCCCCACCTGATATGTCTTCTAAGGCACAATGAGAATAAGGTTTTGATGAGATGGAGAACAAACCTTCATGTAGTAACAGCTT